TTCGGTCGAAAACGAAACCAGGGCAAAAAATGGCCTTCACTGGCAAAGTGGCAATTATGGGCCCGGTTTTGATAAAAACCGAGGGAAATGAGAGTTGTGAATGCACGCGGCATCGGCTGCTTCGCACCCTGTCCATGCGGCGATCGTCCGGCAGCCGGGGAGCCTCGCTCGGACCGGTCCTACGGCGACGGAGGCCATTTTTGAAACTCGACGATCGCCATGCTGCTGCCCACCTATTTACGAAAACAGCAAAAACGTCTGGCCAAGTATCGCCCCAGTGACGAAGCTGAAATGACGACAATGAACAACTCGCAGAAAGGGAAGCCATACCTTTTCGTGTGCATGCCAAACTTTTGATGCACCTCCGGGGAATCCAACCTCCCCCCCACTCATTTCCCATCGCTTCACCTCTTTCTACGATCGTTTTCCCCATTTCTTCGTCCAGAACCTAGCCTTGGGAACCCTAAGTCTTCCAGGGCTAACAAATAAGCGGAAACATGCGTAGTCTTGTTTTGTTTCGAGTTTCGTGATGAAGTAATGTTTTGAGAAGCCGAGGATGAAAATCTGTTTGTTGCGTCTCTTCGTTCATTCCTCTAAAGCTCTCCGTGAATATACAAAAGTTTGGCTAAAAAGCTCTTGTTACTATTCATATCGTACCCAAAGCTGAAAATGAATGTGGTGACAGATTGTTACACAGGAGGCAAAAAATTTTTATCAGTAATTTTTTCGAACATGAGACAGTCGTTTTTCTTTCATTTATTTTCCAGCACGAAAATTCCTACGAAAACGCCTCTACAATCGCCCTGTGAGTTCCTGGTTATTTCTTATGACGTTCATTAGCGCATTGCTGTAGTCGTTCCACTTTCTTTGTGTGCGCTTCGGTTTATGGATCAATTAAGTTTAAGTTGTGACTGACACGAAGACGCCATTTTACAAAGTGCAATTTTAACTCTTCCAACAGAGGAACCCGTGATCTGTTTATGGCTCTTTACCAGATAGAACAGCTGAAATATATATATCTTGATATATATGAGGTGATGTACTCTTTTGGATAGTCACAAACGGGAAGACAACGCATGGAATGTTCTTTAATTAGGGATATCTAACGTTTCTATATATACATACATAGACTGAGAAGTGACAGCTGCGATGGCTTGGGCATGTGTTGCGAATGCCTACAGAAAGGAAGGCTAAACAACTATTCCTTGCAGATCCGACCGGCAAAGGGCCCAGGGAACGGTCAAGAATAACCTGGTGCAAACATATGGAAGGAGTCTGTTCCAGACTGCATTTG